TGTGACCGTCATCTCAGTTCTTGATTTCCGTAGACACTATTGTGGCGTTCTCTGGTCAAATTCAACGCAGTGGGCAAATGGTGGTCCGGGACTATGTGTCGAGGCCTTAAACAGCTTAAATAAGGAAAAAAGTGTTTCTTCTTCACTGTGAACCTTCATACAATGAGGCATTGTCAAGAAACTAAGCCAAGCTTGAGAAGGTGAAGTTGTTGACTTAGATGTAGCGCAAATCATCAAATATCCATTGCGGCATTTGTCTTGTGTAACTAGTGATGAACGTAAATGTCGCGTGATTCTCGCAAGTCTTAATTCTGATTTAGCACTTCATCCCAGCCCGCACTGGCTCCGTCACACCCGCGACCAGCCTTCCAGTTATCCTGATGCAAGAAAAGACTGGCTAATTTTCGACTGATCGATCACCATAGATGTACATTTGATCCATTATTTTAATACCTTGAGACACATTAGCGTTCAGCCAATAACCCGTTCACTCGCTCACTCGAATTTCTTTGGCTGTTCCCTCGTATGAACACCACCACATGGGTAAAATATTTATCGATCTGGTTTTATTAAAGTGATAGGTTCTAGTCCCATGTCTGAGTTTCGTGGTCTGTGGCAAACTGGTACATGGGAAATTAGAAATTCGTTAACGATCCAAACGCCTCCCAAGGACTAGATGGTCTTGTTGTGGGCCCCAGCATGTGGTCTTGAACCACGCCGGAGCCTCGGAATCAACGCGGGCCCGATTACGTTTCCTTGATATCCACGATGAAGAAAAAGTTGGGAGAGGACGGGACACAACCGTTTACTTCAGAGTTCAACCACGTTGGTGTCGTTGGTGTGTGTGTGGGGTTTGCGCGTGTGTATTTATACCTCGGATGTGTGAGTCATACATGCGCTAACATCGAGACCTATGTGTGGGGGATACTCCAAATATCCGTGTGAATGAGGGGGAGTTGATGATCCGCGCGGCTGGCGATATGCTGCGAAAAGGGGATCCCTGTGTCGGAGGTGGAACGACCGGATTAAGGATAGTGAATAAACACGATCCACAACAGTCCAAAAGGGGAGCAGGCTTTTGAGTTGCTAAAGCAAGTTACGACTAAATCAAAAGATATTCAGTCTGCTGATGCGGATTGCTGTAGCGTTAAATTGTTGCTGCCGATCTACATGAATTACAATCTGATGTATCGAAATCATGACTATGAGGTGTTAATTTTGGTCTTTATTCGATAAACGCTTTGGAAGTAATTTCGCTCAGCATTGTCAGACAGGTTTTATTGAGAAACCATCAGGAGGCAGTTCAAGTGTTGCGAAACGTCTTAAACCTCTGATTTTTAGTGGATTTGCATCTTGACAATATGTAAGTGGGTTTCGTAAAAATGCCTTTAACCAATAAGACGTTTGCCTTGAAAACATCTTTCAAATGTATCAACCATTCACACGTTGAATAACATTGTACAAAATTACATTGTTATTAATCGGGCCACAATGTGGATGGTCGTAGATGCTTGAAATGCAACTCTCCATGAGGACGTTTGACGCTCTTCGACATGTCTACTTTTTGTGCCAGTTGAGATAAATTGGCAAATGCAATCGCTCGACATTACATTTTAGCATTCCACAGGGTTTGCTCTTCGATAGTTTTTGGCTACCGACATTGGCGGCAATATCACAAAGTAACTTGTACAGGGGCCAGATAATGTGAAATCGGCAATAGCCCCCAGGACGGGTCGACCCGTAAAAGAAACTCCATTACCTTCTTCAAGGTAGAGAGGTGTTGAGGAAACAATTCTCAAGACTACATTTTTCAAGATTTGGATAATTGTATATTCTTCTGTACCATTCGTGTCATTGCACACCATTTTTCGTATTCAAATTGCCCACCCCCTTCCTATTGGTTCACTCATCTTTGAGTGTACTATTACTCCGAATCGCACCTGAGCGCCCACTCGGCCTTTCGTTGAGGCTGTAAAAAATCCCGGCACGAAATTTGTCTATTACCAGCTGGGGGGAGAATAAAAATGCGCCACCGGCCACTCTACGCCTTTCGAGGCCATAAACGCATTTAGCACTAATGGATCGCACGGCTTTCCAGCAAAATTTGATGCCTTGCCCCCAATTTACTTAATTAAATTGTCCTTCTCGCATTTAAGACGCCCTGATTCTGCGGTGGATAAAGAAAAGCGCGATTCCGTTAAAATGGCGCTAGATAGGTGTGTTTGAGGTTACATTAACTCAAGAATCACAAGTGGCTCAATACTACGAAAAGTAGTCGATTTCACCAACCTCCCCTGACCAACCGCTCTATGCTTTGTCATTAAAATCCAACGAGTCAGTCACTCTTATGGGCTTCATCTATTTTCAGAGCTAGCTAAGTTCGTGCTAAATCGAAATCGCGATGGTTGTACTTTCGTTCTTATCCAATTACGTGCCTAATTAACAAGTTCATCAGTTAATTTTTTCTAAAAATAAATTAAATCTACTTGATCAGTTTGAATCAAAAGCTGCAAAAAGGGAAAGATCATCACAGGCTGCAATTAAAATGAGGCGATTTCATAAATTGTTCCAAAAAAACGGGCATCAATCTGTGTCAAAATCGGTAGGAAATTCCTCAGGCTCGGCCAACGCGAGGCTACACACAGCCGGCAAACTCCAGTCTGTTTGACAAGACTCCTCTCGTTTCTAAAAAGCAAACAAACAAAACTCGGGGTAAATTAAAACTAATTTAATATCCTGATTTTTATTGTTAAAAAAAGTATTTTGGCACCTCAATTTTGCTTGGTTCGTTCTTCGGTGGACTGCCAGTAGGAGCATGCTTTTCTCGTCGTAGAAACGACCTCCGAAGTGCTTTCTCATCAAGAGCCACCTGCATGGAAGCTGCCGAATCATCCGATTCGCCAGAATTGTCGACTGAGTTTCGCAAAGACCTCTTCTGGTAGCCGTTTTTCGTTGGTTTTAGTGAGGACTTTGTTGTCTCTCTGCTTACTTGTGAGATCTTTTTATCACTAGACATTTCCACTATCTCCGTAAAAATTGACGATTTTCTGAAGCCTAAGTATGGTCCTCTACAAAGCAAAAATGAGCCCTCATTCATTTCTACACTCAGCTTGTATATTATTTTGGTTAGACACTACATAAATGTCCAAATTTTTCTCAGTATAAGCTAAATTATCATTTCATTGTCCTACCTGAAGTTTATCCTGAAAATTTGTTTAGTAAACAATACCAAAACGTAATCATGAATTCTTTGACGGTGTTTTTAATTTACAAAAAAAATTAGGGCGATTATTACGAACTGGAAATTATCGGTTGAGTTTTCGTAGGTCTCAGAAAGTAACCTTTTATTCGAAGCAAACTGAGTCTAGGACAAATTAGGACTAATACAAAAACAGCAGTCATTATAAGGAACTAGCTAATTGGACGGTCGTAGACGCTCTAAGCGAAGTAAATATTACGCTGTGGGAGTATTTACATTCTAACATTGCCATTACCTAAGGTAGAGAGCTGGGTGATGTTTTGCGCTGGATCAACTTGTTTAATTAACATTTGCAGATGAAGGTGAAAGTTACTGAGAATGCTGTGCAAGAACGGCCTTTTTCCGGTGTCAGACGGGTTGCCGCCTATTATTCCAAGTACGAGAATGTTTTAATAGAATGAAGTGCTCCCAATATAATTTTTTACGAAACTTGTATGTTAGTTTTCACGCGAACCTAGGATTTCGGTCATCCTAATTTCTTTGCTCTGTTCACACAATCACACCATTGAGAACGTCTCAGAGATAACACCTCGATCACACAGTATCTATATTCACAAAAATAACTCTTCATTCTTTATTAAATATCCACAAATCTCTGACCACGCAAATCAGAAAATCAAAGTCAATTTGACACCATAAATATTAACGGAACGTAAAATTGTGAATTCACCAAAATACCATGTTCGCTAGGTGATTGGTTCACCGAAACAGCATACGACCTTGAACTTACAATGAAGGATTAACACGTCATTTTGGCGACTGCCACTCCTAAATTTGATACTCGTAGGAAGTTTGTGAGTGCTTCTTATTAGTGAAATTCCTGTTTAAGATGTCGCGTATTGAATTTATTCATATTTTTTCGCATACATAAATGAACGATTAAAACAAACAAGGTGTCAGTACCTTCACCGAAAAATCGTATTGGCTGATAGGAAAAGTTCGAACCTGAGTTGACTGCAAATTTAAAACAACACATTTTCTAGAAAAATAGCGGTTTTAATCAATATTTTACTCCACATCATTTTCAAATGTTCTACGAATTTCTGATTCTCAATTTTGTAGACACTGCGTGGTTTCTCTTCAGAGTTGTAAGGTAGCATTTGGCTTCGTCCGCAGATTCACATTTTCGCCTTTCAAATCATTATGCAGAGAACGAAACCGATGTACATCTGGAAAGGCAAGGTCAGAGGAAAACAGGGAATGGCGATGAAGGATTTCCCGTCATAACTGCCCACGCTTTGCAGATTGGCATGTGATCTGGCGTTGGCATTTTGACGAATGCTGTGAGTTTGCAAGCTGTAATTGCGTTCCAGCATTAACTTGGATGGACTACTCATGGTACCTCTTCGCAATTATTGTTAATCACGTGTAAAAAACTCGAGAAAAAAATAATTTCTATGCAATTCTACCAGTTACAATGTTCAATCCTTTTGAAACTTGAATGGCACAGCATGACGAAAACTTAACTTTTCACAAATTAATTTAAACAAATTTCAAGACTATGCTGTCTAACGATTAAATTCGGCAAATTTTAGCTAAAAATTTGGTTTCGTGAGCAGCATCTTATTCAAAAGTATATGCATCTGCCAACTTTCAAAGATCGTGTGCAAACTGCTTTAATCAAACAATTTAAACCAATGCATTTTGTTGCTGTCTAGAGGACTAGCTCATGAAAACGCGGCGTGACCTCGAACTTCCACGTGAATGCCACCAAGGTAGTGCAATAAGTTCGACATTTTTCTCAATTTTGATACATGTTCAACAACTCGACGTACTTTTTGTGAGATTTCTTTTTGCCCGTGTCGACATTCGTCTGGAGAACACCAATGTGGCACCGAATATCCTTGGCCGTGATGAAGGACATTCGAGAATTCTTCTCAGGTCGACAGAGTATAATGTAGGTCTTGGGTATAAAGAGGATGACCAACGCTATGCTTGCGGAGATGCTAATCGAGATTGTCAAGGTGACTTCAGTTTCGTAGCCAGACAGGTAGACGGGCAGAAAGGCGAGCCACAGAACGCACGTGGTGTACATCGTGAAGCCGATAAACTTGGCCTCATTGAAGTTCTGTGGTAGGTTTCGCGTCTTTATTGCGTAGATCGTGCACATTGCTGGAAATGCAGTGCAAGAACCATCGTATAACACAGCAGTGCGGAAACACAAGTGCGCCAGTCAAATTAAGCCCAGACGAGGTCATGAACTAGCATCTGTGGGCCCCTCCTCTGTCCAACTTAAGTGTTATTAAAAACACACTCAAGACATGGGCAGGCAATTACTTGGATTGAGTTCTATTCTTTGAACACACTCCACTATTGCAGTCACAGGATTCCAAGTAGTGTTAGGCAGTGGCAAATAATAAACATAACATGTTCTCGATAAATCCGATATTTGGTTTAACCTGCTCAAAGAACAATAATGGAGTGTGCAGTTCAATTGTCTGGGAATTGATCTGAAGGAAATTAGTTGTTTTCTTGGCTCGATTATCACTTTTTTTCTTCCTGCACAAATTTCGGCTCACGCGATTATCCACGTGCTCACGCCAATCAGCTCTCATTTGCATACAATCCAGACAAACGATTGGTCGGCTTTTTTAACAAATGAAAAGCGAAGATATTGGTCCTGTGAGAAAGGGTCGGGGGTTGTTTAAACTCATAAAAATTGCATGATATCACCTTTGTCGTAAAAACTCATCATCGTGGCCTGCAGGATATCAACATTGTCTCGTGGTACAAAAAAAGCAAATATCGCCGGTTTCCACGAAAGCGTTTTCGCTCATTATTGTCCATTAGCAAACAGCCGTGTGTGATGGCTACCTTGAGCAATTTAAAGAAACAGCTAATTCCAGTCTGTAATATGGGAAATATTGCTGTCAAAGTAATGCAAATGTGATTTACGCAAATTGTCAGGAAAATGATTTATAGCGGATTAACAGCGATCGCGCCTGAATGAACCCTGTTTACCGACCCGACGGTGACAATGACTCATCCCTTTTTCATTGGTCACTGTTATCAGACGCCCGTCATCCGCTCATTCATCCACACACATCCGCACTTGGTTGGCGTGGCGGTAATGAACGGTGTGCCCTCTGTCGCCTCTTGTTTTACCCATCTCGGGTTGTTACGGGCTGTTAACTAGAGGGTTGTAAGGTAGTGCTAGGCCACAAGCCCACTACATGTTCACCAAGACCTCAACTATAAAATTTTCTGCGTGCAAAGGGATTCAAACTCACCAATAAGGAAGATGGGAAAGGCGAGAGGGATCACATTCCCACTTTTGGTGGTATCACAAAGCATAGTGGCTTGCGTCAAGTCTTCAGAGAACTTCAAACGCGTATTTGGTGGCTCAATTACAAGCATTGTCGCCACGACAATGATTTCGATCGTTGTCAGGGCTGTAAAGGCAAAAGAATAGCCTAATAGCGAAAGAGACTGTAAATTGACTATGTCCGTGAAAGTTCAAAACGGCATCACTTAACAAACTACCGGTAATCCGTTATTTCCATCCGAATATTCCAGAATGATTAATTTTGCCAATTTTGTCCAGCTTGCAAGCAAATGCTGGGTAGGTTTCGGAATAGCTTTGAGAGTTTACTCTGATAAACGATACTCGTTATAGAAAATTTGATATATTGTGCCAGTTTTCACTGATTTTTCACACTTTTCTTGATCCCACGTGTGCCTGTTTACCTACAACACTCCTGCTCCTTCCAGTTCCCCTGTAAAATCAAGTAACTATTTCTTATTAGTCAATATTGAACCAATCACTAATCATCTAAATGCAGATCGCATTATTTGCTTCATTCTATTTCGCATAATAATTAATTTTCTTGAATCACCTTGACATATGCATTGTTGATGACGATTAAAACCTCCAGAGCGATGCTTTGGTAATTTAAGGGTATCGTCATTTTTAAAAACCGCATCATCATTCTGTCAAGCTTCATGGGTTTGTCAATGCCGTGAAACCGAGACTAAGGACAGCCATCAATTAGCGCGCAGAACAGCTTTGGGCCTCAGGAGTATTTAGTGACCAGGAGGATTTCACGGCGAGATACTGAAGCAACTCAAGGTCAAATATCGATTACCAATCACCGCCGAGCATGAGTTTGGGCAGACAGTTGGCTCCAAACGGACCAATGACCGCAGCTAAATGATCGTGCGCATAGATTTGAACGTTGATAGTTTAATTTGCTAAAAAAACGTGGTTATGTTTTCTCTTTGTTGTAATGTAACGTCTCCGAAGAATGCAAATATGTTGGGTGAATCTCATTACATGAGGACCATCACCACGGTTCAAAGACTACACACACCTGCCAGGCTCTCGTTGTGTCTGCACCTAGTAAACGATGTACAAAACCGTGTTCCACATCGTACCAGACGCCAGGTCGACAAAATGGCAACCATTTCTAAACCAGTATTTCAAAGGGTCAGAGAAATCAGGTTTTTACGAATATCGACCTACCAAGAGTGATCACGAGCTGGGCAGTGGTGGAGAGGAATCGTTGTTTTTTCAGCAGAATGCGTTTTGATCCCTCAAGAATCCGTGCAATGCGATTGGTCTTGGTGACGAGGGCGGCATAGATGATGGCGAAGGCGATGCTGGGCAGGGAGCGGTGGAGGGCGCAGGTTAGCGGACTTGGCCGAAAAAACACAATCAGCACGGAGAAATGCGCCACCAGCATCGCCACCAAGATGACCCACATGAGTTCACGGGTGGAGGCCTTCACAACTGCTGTGTTCCGGTGAACTATGAAGACGACCAGTATGATGATGGCCATCAGGGCTCCAATTGCAGCGAAAACGATGGCAGCAAGAGGGCCGGGGTTGGTCCATCGGATAAACTCAGGTTCAATGGGCACGCAGTCTAAAATGGACGAGCCAGTTCGCAGCTAACAAAGCTTGCTCCTTTGTGTCGTCCCTAACAATTGGTCAACTTGCTGCCTACTCGTTTTTTAAGCCCCAATTTGCAATTTCGCTTTAAATGCACGCACAAAGATCTATAAAGATATCACGAGAAGCTTAGTTGTACTGTCTGGTTACTCCTGCTTATCTGAGCACCGGTAAGTTAGATGCAGGGGACTAAAATTTTGACATTTTATGGATAAATCTTGGAACATAATTTTCATAATCTGCCTCTTGCTCAGCTCATTTAATTGAAATTTAGTCCGAATAATTCAATTATTAAAGTGCTCACATTCGCCTTAGTCATCTTCCTCAAACTGCTGAAATATTTGTCTTTAGTTCCAGGAATTCCCGGAACTCCAATAGTCAGTGGGTTAAAACGGTGGCGTGAATTGAGAAAATTTTCTACGCTCAAACGTTAACGTAAGAAATTCGTTTGAGTTGTCGTCGATTCTTCAAAACGGATGTTTTGTACATCGAAAAGATAACAAAGAGAACTGTCGCTTGCAATTTCATTAATCATTTTTGCCATATTAGTGAAACTTAGGGACTAATCAATTAAAAAAGGATTGTTGAAGATTATTCTAACAAATATTACTAAAACTAATTAATTTAACGAATAATTGAACAATTTATGTTAAAAACGCAATCTTTTTTTCCAATACACAAGAACGCATCTGTCAGTGTCTACTTGATAACTTCGTGTTTGTTAAAATTACCTGTCTTGTTTTCAGAAGGCTTGAATCCCAAACCGCAGGGCTCACATCTTTCACTTTTAGTCTTCCTTTCATTTGGCTTACAAGGTCGGCAAATCCAGCAACAGGATTTGGATTTATCCTTCACTATCTGAAATACAACATCATCGTTTAAATTGGCATTTTTTTTGCAAATTCAGGTTTCTGACAAAAACCACCACTGTAATTGCAATCGCTAATGTTAATTTTTACCCTGTCTAAGCCCACACCAAGAACCACACAGCATCAAAGACAGCTAAAACTGAAAATATTTATCCACACACCAAAGAGTTAATTTGTTTTTTTCGACGTACCGGTAAGATTAGATATCGCACGGCATCAGCAGAAATTTATAGCTACATCAGTTTCACGTGATGGCTAAACAAGGAATTTGTTTTGCTTCGGATAAATCGTGAGTAACCTCCAGTGTAAGCACACAAGTTTTATAGCTACGTCTGAGGGGCAAATGCCTAACTTCCCTCCTCGTTGTTATTTTTTGGGGCGAGCTCAGAAGCAGGTGATGATTTGCTGACATTTTGCAGATGATTCTCTTCCCCTGTGCTACATTTAACATAGTCATAGCAAAGAGAAATTGATGCTTTGGTAAACAAAACACAATATTAGGTTTTGCAATTGTGTACACAGAAGTGGAGCGCATTAATCAACGATGCTGTGGCATTTAAGAAAGGTTCAACCGGCGGAATCGATTGGCGGAAACTGTCTTTCAAATGAATAGTTTCGGGTGCCTGTCGAAATTTTGCACGTGGGACAAAGCCACAAGTGCAGACCAATAGCAATTACGCGAATTTTCAAACCTGCGACACCATGGGATGCGACCATGACCCTGGGTTAGTGGAAAATAGCCGATTTCGCCTTTCACTGCTCTTATGCGGTTGACGCAACTAAGTGAACAAACTAGTGAACTTCAAGCTCTTATGACAAAAATTGACTTTCAGCTGACGAGAATGAGTGAAGGTCTTACCTCATTTCTGATTGGGTACTTTTTGAAGTTCCCTATGAGCACCTCCACGCACGCACACAGACCCACCACATGATTGTGCCCCCACATCTTCATGTAGTCTCCTAACCATCTTTGTTGTCGTCTTCTATAGGCGTCTCCATAGCTATGCAATTCTGAAAACGCACCGAGGCCGACGACGAACTCAGACACTGTCGGACCTGGACGAAGTCCATGAACAACGCCGGGTTCAACCGAGTTATTGCCACGGTAAGAGCGCGTTTCTTTGGCCCGACAAGGCGCCAGTATAAACAAAGAAGCTCGACATTCGGTCTCTGAATTCACATTCGCAAATGCATGGCGATCTTGAACACCCTTCAAAAGGACTTAGTGGTCGCCAACATATAAATAAGCCACAGAGTCTGCATTGCAGTCTAATTCTGTGCCGAAACCCGTAATTCATCGTCCAGTGCAACCCACTGTCCTCTAAGTAAATCATTTTGTTTAATATTGAGTGGTAACATGCCAAAAACAATGAAGTTGGCGATTTAGCAGATTAAAATGTGTACGCCATATTGATTCTGAAAACCACGTCTAAATAGTATCCCACCAGCAATTAACACTAAAGCATTCGACATTCCCCATTTGTCTGACGGCGGAGGTGCCGAATTCCTAACTAACTGGGTCGAAAGCATGTTCTCTGTGGAATTCTCCTCATTGATGTAGAGATCTAAACGAAATTTGCCAATGGCAAACTCCTTAAAAATTTCTCTTGACGTGTGGTTTGTAAGAAAAATTTATCACAGATTCGTATTTGATATGCTAGGACCAATGCAAAGTACAATGTCAGATTGTTTTGCTAAAAAGGGCATAAACTGTCCACAAAATGTGCCTGACTTAACCACGTATGGCATCAGGTTTGTGCAATTTAAGTAATATAAACGTATTTGGAGGTATACTGAACGAAGACTTATTTTCTGGTGTAAAATAAAAACGAAAACCCACCTTTTCTTCCCACGGACCACAAGGCTCACTGCAATACGACTTGACTGGTCCCACGATGGTGGAGTTGGGTGTTGCCGCCTCGATGACCTGCCACTGGATCTTGTCCTCGTCCACAAATTCCATACGACCGTGTTTCCACCGTGCAATCTGTACATACTCAAACACCTCCTCGCCGCGTGCGTTGACAGTTTGTTGATAATTCAAGATGTCGTAACTGAATAGCAAAGGTAGGGCGTACACTAGCACAAACAAGCAAAATCAGAGTGACCATTGAAGCTGACAATAGTGTCATACCTGGCAGGTGGATCGCCGTTTTCGTCGAAGTAGATGGTGTCGCCGTTGCGATCTGTGAAGTTAACTTTGAGCAATTCCTGTCGTAGGAAACTACCGTTCACCGGCAGCAGACCCGCACACACTCCAGGTCGTCCAACGCCACAAACGATTTCCTGAACCCGATGCAACGCCAGCGCGACTACGTAAATTGCCAGGTTAAGGAGCGAGAGTTTGTTGTCTTGTTGAAATGGCAAATTCTTTAGGCTTTCTTGACCTAGGTAAAAAAAGTAACGACGAAATTGAATCAACATTCGTATTCCATCCCTCCACATTAATTTAATTTTCAGTGTTAGTGATCCAGCAAATATGGTCGGTGACCACTAGCAGCCTCGTTTTTTGTTTGTATTATCTTGTTTGAGTTGCTTTCTATTTACCAGCACCGACTGTTTCTTCATAATTCTCTCACAACTCCTCCCATCTGACTAGTTCGACGTTGGGCCATGTCATCTATTGGGCAGCTTCCAGATAAATGACTTGGCTTAAGTCCTCATCGCCTAAATCAATATAGCAGAATTCAGACTTGGTAACAACTTTTAAGACTGTAACACGTAAGACACATATTTGTGTAGCTCTGGATGTGATGAATTGAGGGGACAGGAGTCGGTCAGACGGAACTTGCGACACGGGTGCAAAGTTTGTGAATTGTCTGTAGATAGATAGATGAGTGATGAATGCTTCTTAAACGATTCGTGTGTTTCCATGGCAGTTACAGAGACGGAAATACTATAAAACCACCGCGAAGCACATTGTACTGGGAGTGAATTTGTCGGTTAGCCGAATACGGCTGCTGTTGATGTAAAATGACCACATACCAGCTGTTAGAATGTGGCACCCATACAATAAATTGACTTCTGTGCCTGGCATCGCCACCGTCCCAATAGCGCAGTTTCCAGAATTAGAAACTGCGTTCGTATTTGCAGCAGGGTTGTCTAGGCCTAAATGCCCCGAAACTCACCGGTACATTGTTTGCGCTTTCCGTCCCCAGTGTTGCGTATAGTGCAGTCAAATTTCTGTTCCCAGAACTCCGTAAACCAGGGGTTAACGTTGTGATGGGTGTCTGGCGTAAGACTGGTGAAGTACTCATCGAAGCCTTCCACTTTTGGTGAGTGCAGTTTAATTGAAAAGCTTCCAAGTGCCAACCGGCTGTACGCTCGTTCTTCCGTCTTCGCGTTCACTACCGGTCCAAGGACATCCAGTCGGTCAGACCATCCGTCCCTGCAACACAGAAGGAAAATCCGTCGAGCGCATTCAACAACCACAATCCTGAAGTGATCGTCGCCTATCAAGGTGACGCTAATACATGATGTCGATGAATTTTTGTCGAATGTACAAGAAGATGGCATGATAAAGCACCACTTTGACCATGTTGCAAAATAAGAATTTTGGCAACACTTTAAACGAAAATTGAATACCATTATTTGTATCAAGCATTTAACCGTTTTCTAGATTCTGCCCAGCCAATGGCATCACGAAAAAACTACTCTGGGATTGTTAGGGAAATATTCAGAAACTTTAAATGGAATTCTGCAAATTTAATGGGTCAGGAAGGATAGATCGAATGAATTTTACAAGGTAAGCATAATATTTGTATCAAATCACCCTCAATTGAAAAGTTGCTAAGTGCGATGAGAAGTGGTGAATCGGGGAAGGTCACCTCCTGTTGCTACTCGTTGCTCTCGTGTGAAATGAGCTCAACCAGTTTATGAACGTTTTCATTGGTCAGGACGTGAAGCTCCTAAATCCTATCACTTAACTTAAAATTTCCAGTATTGATTTTTATATTGCAACTAAAACAGTGGACTAAACATTAAGTAACATCTCAGGTGCCACACGCACATACACAAACCGTATCGTTTTTCGTTAAACAACACACACATGGATTGTCACCACCCGTGACCTTGACGAGTGACTAATCAACGCTTCCCACTGCACCCACAAGGAGCAGTAACCTTAAACAAACCGTCACGGTTCAGTTCTAGATGTATGCACAAGACAAAACATGCCCAACTAGTGATTGCTTTGTGAAAGGTTATTTTTTATAAAAAAATTCGAGCTGAGTTATGAGCTGCAACCTCCATAAGTCTGAGATCCACACAGTTAGCTAATGATGTCTTTTAATGGGCTGTTACCGGATGGTATTACTAGTTCAGTAACTTTCAACTTGATTACATTAGGTTAATTAAAGGCGGAACCGATTGACTGCGATCTAGGTTTAAGATGTTCGCTGGTGGTGAAGTTGAATTAGTGACTTTTAACTAAGCTAAGCTAGTAACTCACGTTCCAATGAACATGTAGCCCCTCCCCTCTAAGCCGAGCGTCTTCATGGCCTTGAAAATTCCAGCCATCGTCTCACCCTGACAAAAACACACCACAACTTTGGCCTTTCGATCAGGCTGGAAGATCTCCATCGCCAGATCCACGAACGCCTCCTCCGTCTCCTTGTTGTCGATGCTGCGCTCAATTTCAGAACAAATGCCGTACTTATCCATGCGTTCCTTCAATCCTGATATCCCCCTGTCACCGTAGATACCTAAAGCAAATTGACTAAATTACGAATTGCACCAGAAACCCATAAACCGTTGCTGTTTTTTTGTGCTAGAGTTAGTAAAAGTACAGTCTTAAGGTCCATTTAAATGTCGAGACACGCGTGATACTGGATGCAAAGCAAAAGGGGTTATCAATGTGATTGGTATATGAAGTCCTTCCTTTTGCAATCTTAAACCCACAACGTTTACTTAAATAGACTTAATTGTTGGCTAACCCCCTCGCAGCGCTAATATTATCAATGTCAAAATTTACATGTTCAACAATAAAAAGAATTAGTGCAAAACCGAATAATATAATTTAATTTTAATATGTAACAAAATGAAAGTTTTTTTGGGTTAATAAATATTTCTTTTACCTAAATGTAAAGCAAAGAAGCATTTTAAAGAAAGGAAATAGAATTTTAATCGGGCCTGATGGGTGCAAAATAATTAATAATTGATATTAAGGTAACGTGTTTGATCCAATCAGCTAAAAATGAGCATTAAGATAACTTTTAATGTCTTTTAAGTTAAGAATAACTACTTCTGACAATTTCAGGAAAACATGAAGAATATTTTTTTCACAAAACATTTAGACAAAAGGGCAGGCCGCGTCTTCTAAATGACGTCGAGTAGAAATATCGCCAAATTTTTTTACGAAGCCCAGAAATTTTTGAAGTCAATGTTTCAGGAGAAATTCTAAATTGTTCCCCCAAAAAGGCAGCAGACCGGCCCAATAGCCATATAGCAGTTGTCCTATGGCACGTTATCCTTTAGTAGAATCTTAATTATCGCCGCTTACTCAGAAAACGTTTTGTGCGCGCATAAAACAGTATTAAAGTGCGCTTTTGTCTATATAAAACAGTAAAATTTTAACATTAACAGTCAACAGTTTGCTTATTGTATGAAAGCAAAAATAAAAACCGATGTTATAAAAAAATCAAATTTCTAACATCTCTGGGCTGAATACAATTGCGGTTGCCTGGCGATTTTTGTCCCTTCTTCTTAACTAATTACGGGGCCATTTCTCGTAATTGTCCTCCTGGTTACCGCCCAATCTTCGCTTCACAAAAATGACTTTTAAAAATTTCAAAGGAACCACGAAGCAGTCTGGAGTTCCCTGTGATGGTGATTGAATCGTGGTAGAGTGTTGGCCAATCACATTTATGGACTTGTTGGGGCAAAATTGAATTGATTTTCCTGTCAATTTGGCCTCCTCCAGTACCTGGATTTTCGGATTTAACAACACCGCCACAATCATCGACTGCACTTACTCATCTCTCGACAGCTTTCTGTTTACTGCAAAATGAAAACATTTGTTCTGCTTTCACGTTGTACTACTGCACAACCGCTGGCACAGCTAAAATGCTTGTTCTAAATTACTGCACAGAGGTGACACAAAAAGCTGCAGAAAAATATTAACCATGGAAATTTGCATCTCGTTTCGTTGGTAACTCGAGCAATCGCCTTGAGGTTTGACATGTGAATTCGGACACTCCTTCGGCAGAATGCTATTCATATTTAATTTAGTTACATTGTCCAGCGACTGGCTCTCAAACGGTACTAGGCAAACACAGGAAAGATGTTTGTGGTGCGTAAGCTCGTCCAGCACTCACACAGAAACAAGGAGAAATTGTGAGAAAAGTTTTCCAGGAGAATCTGCGTGAATAACTATGTGTTTTAATATTGATGGAGAAAGACGTTGTACAAAGTCCTTTCTCAAAACCGCATTCTATTTAAAGTAATTTTTGCGCATTTGAAAGGTCCAACACTAATTTAGTCGGAATGTGGTAAGTAAAGCAGAAAATTTTATTTTTTCCCTAGACAGGGCGTGTGAACTACGGGAGGCAGTAAATTCGTGTCAGAAAAGCTTTCAAAGTGGGTAAATTGATGATAATTTTTGTGGGAATATGTAGCAACTACGTCGATTCATTAACCACCGCCAGAATTAACCTATTACAGTGCGAAGAAAAGGTGCGATCAATGCGATTTGACCGTTTACGTATGCTAATGAAGACGCTGCTCTATAAACTGGGTAAATCGCGTTTTAATGGCGCTAATTTATGAAGTGCTGTAAAATGCGTATGGCGACCTTTCGTCTGGAGAAGATTTATGCACACGTAAAAGAGCTCCGTACCACCTCTTGTTATTGTGAAGCAATCATATCTGTGTGATTTTATGCGCGCCGAGTTAACACCCAAGTCCGAATTGTTCTAAAACGTGGGATCGAAGGTTAAATACATCACAGCGCTCAATCGTTGATCTCGGCAGTGACAAGGCGTCGGTATAACTGGGAACGATTGACTTTGATATCACTGAACAAAAATTGCAACGTGATGTGTGCTGAAGAACCCAGTCTGATCCACCTTCAACAATTGGTGACCTCGGCGTGATATGACCACGCAACCTTCTGATCTGGCGTTATTGAGCCTAAAATATTCGTGTCTGAATAATGAGGGTTTTTGACCAATGCAGTCTGAGTGAACCTATAACAGGACAACAGCTCGAATGCCCAGATGAATAAAACGGATCGCGTGTGGATGGTTTTGCACGACCGATAGCGACGTCGTGTATAGGACAATGCGACAACCGGGTTAACGGACGTGAATAGCCACGACTAATCATACCTGTAAACAGAGATTAAGTTCATTCACGTCTGGCAAAATCAGGTGTGAACTAGCTTGATTACAGTGCTGACCGCCGCCACTCATTTCAACTTGATCTCAGTAATAGGATTCTCGTTGACAAGACTCCATATTTACGGTACCGGTTGTAACCTGTGATTAAGACGACATTACCAACAACTGGGCAGACAGGGGTGGTTCACCCAACTTCAGTTTTAAATTGATTTCAGTGAGGGCCGCTTGAACGTGCTTTAACATAAAATAGAGGTCTAATCGTGTTATAGACTACCATCTTTCGCCACCTGGACACAAAGAACGAAATTCTACTGAAAAAATAAACAACTTGAATGCATAATAGTAAACAAAACTAAACCAAATGGTAAAAGAGGGAACCAACCGTAGCCACACATAAATCGTCTACATATTGTTCATTTTGTTTATAATTTACTAAAAATTAACGGATTAGGGTCTGTAGTGAATCGTGCTGATTCACGTCCAACAAGCCGGTCGTCGCAGGTTCACACACCCGTACCACCACCACCCGCTCTATCCATGTGACCATTCAGACGTCTGTATTTTCACTAGCCACTCAGTGAACACACCACAAGTGGGTGGAGTTGTCTAGTAAACGGCTGTGCCTCGTCCTCTCCGGTCTTCTTCATCTTAGCGGGTACTCGGGTCAGCGTAATCGGGATTGATTGACGCAGTGGCCCCGTCGTGGTTCAAGATAACTCGCCGGGGCCCCCAACAGGTCTGTAGAAACTGTAAGCAATACACGGGTCTAGGCCTCATCCAAAGGACGCAATTTAAAGTGACCTTAGTTCAAGTTGGCTAGACCTTTTAAGTAGTACAAAAACGCTGAGATCGGAAAATTGAGTCATGTACATGTACCTCTTAATAACAACTCGAAAACCAGAAAATAGTGTCACAAAAATGTCTACTTGTCTTTATTGTCGTTGATTACGAGACTGTGGTCCAGTTTTAGGACAAACAAAAACAACGAGAAAAGCTGAGTAGTCTGGGTAGCCGAGCTGGGCACACATTAGACAAGGGATGAGTTTAAGACCCGTGTAAGACTCACAGAGTAACTGTGTGACGCTAGAACCAATTGAGATTTGACCCGAAGGGGAAGGAGTTCTGGCCTCTAATGAGATGGATGGAGCATTTGTTATGTTATTTCCGTATAACCTTTTTTTACTACACTGGTTTTGTTAAAACATTATTTAAAGTCCCTAAGCAACCGTATTTGTTGTACATATTTACTGTTTGCTCTACTTACTGTCGTAATGTTCACTGCTTATGATAACCGCTATTAAGATCTACCGTGATGGATTGTTTTTGCTGTACTTCGATTACAGCACGGACATCCACTGAGAAAGAAAAATCATAACACATTTGACTTCGTTTACACCCTTAAACCTGACCGTAAGAAATGGCTGCTTAAAAATCGATGAATATTTGTATTCGCCGGCTTCAAACCATCCAATGAACATAAAAATAAACATCACAGCAGCCAATGGGTAGCTAAGAAGCATTACATCCATATAGCGATTTTTGGCCGGAAATTATAAGTGCAATTCTTGTAATCTGAAACAGCTGGCCGCGTGATGTTTTGCATGTTTCTAATGGATGTTGTGGACGACGTGTGTGTGTTCGAGACTAATTTATGCGACAAGATATCACGAAATGTGTTTGCAATAGGTCAGACATTAAAATAGGGGCCGCATTTAAACATATTGCTGCGCATAAAGTCGGGCAGCGCAAATGGTACAAGTTTTCAGTGCTATGCAAAATGATTGCTCCACAATTTTGCAAAAATAAACACACAAAGGTAGGTTTAAAAGGGTACCTACACAATTCTGCAGTAAATTTTTCTTCTTGAGAAATTTTCCCGTGGTCTCTGGCTAAAACACAACCGTTTTACTTGCACGTAACAGTTCCAAGCGCCACTTAAATGGAAGTATTGCTTAAACTTATACATACATATAAGTTTTTTTTGGATTAGACTCCCAGTGATTGACCCCACCTATCAGCACGCTGTTTCAAGGTCATTCATCCAGATTTTAGCTACTACATGGATTTGCTTTCTTTCAAAATAAAGTCCATATTCCTGCAAGATAATCTGAAATACGAGCATGTAAAGTAAGCGCTTTATGCATTGAGAAAGGCGTGACAATGAATGTGGAAGTTGGGCTCAATTAATAACCGGTAACCACATGAACGAAAATCTGCCCTGTGATTCGACGGTTGGTTCAGCGCAGACGTCTAGAGTCAAAAAACCCAGATCTCAGTAAGATCAAAAAATTGTTCTGGAATCTTAAGGAATCATTTCACAAAACC